AAAAAAAAAAGCCAGGCACAGTGGCCCATGCCTGTAATCCTAGCACTTTGGGAGGCCGAGGCAGGCAGATTACAAGATCAGGAGATTGAGACCATCCTGGCTAACACAGTTAAACCCCGTCTCTACTAAAAATACAAAAAATTAGCCAGGTGTGGTGATGGGCACCTGTAGTTCCAGCTACTCGGGAGGCTGAGGCAGGAGAATCGCTTGAACCTGGGAGGAGGAGGTTGCAGTGAGCCGAGATCGCGCCACTGCACTCCAGCCTGGGTGACAGAGCAAGACTCCGTCTCAAAAAAAAAAAAACCTCTCAAAGCTCAGCAGTAAACAGTCAATCCAATTGAAAAATGGGCACAAGCTTGGCACAGTGGCTCACACCTGTAATCCCAGCACTTGGGAGGCCGAGGCAGGTGGATCGCCTGAGGCCAGGCGTTCAAGACCAGCCTGGCCAACATGGTGAAACCCCGTCTCCACTAAAAATACAAACATTTGCTGGGTGTAGTGGTGCATGCCTGTAATCCCAGCTGCTTGGGACGCTGTGGCAGAAGAATCGCTTGAACCTGGGAGGCGGAGGTTGCAGTGAGCCAAGATCATGCCATTGCACTCCAGCCCGGGCAACAAGAAAGAAACTTCATCTCAAAACAAACCAAAAAAAATTGGGGGGCAAAAGACTTGAACAGGTACTTCATCACAGAGAACATCTGGACAGCAGAAAAGTACACGAGATGATATTCAGACCATGGGCCATCAGAGAAATGAGTGGTGCCATCCCACCACACATCTGTTAGGACAGCTGTGGTTTCTTTTTTTGTTTTGTGTGTGTGTTTTTAATTTTTTTGAGCCAGAGTTTTGCTCTTGTCACCCAGGCTGGAGTGCAGTGGCACGATCTCAGCTCACTGCAGTCTCTACCTCCCAGGTTCAAGAGATTCTCCTGCCTCAGGCTCCCAAGTAGCTGGGATTACAGGCATGTGCCACCACGCCCAGTTAATTTTGTATTTCTGTAGAGATGGGTTTCTCCATGTTGATCAGGCTGGTCTCGAACTCCCGACCTCAGGTGATCTGCCCGCCCTGGCCTCCCAAAGTGCTGGGATTACAGGCGTGAGCCACCACGCCTGGCCAGCTACAGTTTCTTTAATGACAACACCAAGTGCTGATGAGGACACAGAGTTAATGGATCTCTCATACATTATTGGTAGGAATGCAAAATGGTGCAACCACTTAGGAAAACAGTTTCTCAAGAAGTTAAACGTCCTCTTACCATGTAATCCAAATAGAAGTGAAACTTATGTCTACACCAAAACCAGTACATATGTTTATAGCAGCTCTGTTCATAACTGCCAAAAACTAGCAGCAGTCCCAGTGTTCTGCATTGGGTGAATGGATAAAGAAAGTGGTAATCTGTGCAGTGAGATACAGCTCAGCCACACAAAGGAATGAACCACTGCCCTTTGAGAATGTTCAGAGAGGAAACAAAAGGAATGAACCACTGACATACACAGAAACTTGGATTGATCTCAGCGACATTACTCTGAGAAAAAGCCAGTCTCAAGGTTATATAACGTATAATCACATTTAGATTACATTCTCAAAAAGCCAAAGCCATATTGTTGCAGAACAGATGAGTGGCTGCCACGGGCTGAGGTGGGGAGATTGTGTGGCTCCGGATGGCAGCACTGGGGAGTTTTGGGAGTGGTGGGACTGCCCTGTATCCTGAGTGTGGTGGAGCTGACTCTCCATGTGTTAAAACTCACAAGAGCTAATTTTACTGAATGTTAATTTTAAGAAAGAATTTCAGCCAGCAAAAGTCATCCTTTCCTTACAAAGATTTGCTTCATTTATGCTCTTGCTGGTGTCGCATCCAGGTTGCAGCACTCGGAGCGGGCGAGGCAGGGGGCCGAGGAGCGGAGCCACAAGCTGCAGCAGGAGCTGGGCGGGAGGATCAGCGCCCTGCAGCGGCAGCTCTCCCAGCTGCACGAGCAATGGTAGGGGCCCTGCAGGGAGCCTGGGCTGGGTGTGGCTCAGGAGGGACTGGGAAGAACTGGGGGCAAGTAGTGTCCTGCTTCAGCACTCACCCCTGCAGCGTTCATATGTTACCCCTAGGGAGCTCCCTCCCCACAGGACGACTCACGTGGTCCAGCTCACCCCCAGAAGGTCTGGCCACACTCAGACCATGGTCCCAGGTCACAGCCTTTATCACCCTTAACCACCCTTTCTAAAAAGAAACAACCGTGTGTCAGTGTTGAGCAGAAAGCCACCTTTCACCTACCCTTTGCTGACGCAAGCTTCATATGATTTTGTGCACAGTTCGTCTACAGAATTTTTATTTTTTTTTTATTTTTTTATTTTTTATTTTTTGAGACGGAGTCTCGCTCTGTCGCCCAGGCTGGAGTGCAGTGGCCAGATCTCAGCTCACTGCAAGCTCCGCCTCCGGGGTT